TTTTTGATTTATTGTAGAGAAGAGGTCTCACCAAGTTGCCCAGGTGGGTCTTGAACCCGCGGGCTCAGGCAATCCACTCACCTCGGACTCCCAAAGCGCGGGATTACAGGCTGAGTCACTGAGCCCGGCGTGCAATTCACTTTTTCTAATCTCCTATAAACAAGCACACGCACAAAAAGCCAGAAGTCAACAGAGCTTATTTTCATGATGGCAAGGCATGAGACAACAGTTCCTAGTCCTGTTGATCCCTTTCCAATTCTGAAAATATTTAGAAGGAACATTCACATGTTCACCTGTTGTGTTCCACAGTCCAACCCTGCATAGGATTGTCAACGAAGTTCAAATTTTACTATAAATTGTGGACAGCTGTTTTTTTAATCAGGGTACCATATTAACATTTCTTATCCTAAGTAACATGTTCTGTAGTCTTCAATTACAGTAAAATAAAGATCAAAAGCAAAGCATATCACAGAACTTAAAATTCAGAACAGTAGTTAGACATGTGTAGCTTGCACACACATTAATCTGTTTCTCTCAACAAAATATTAGTAATTTCCAAAATTCTATCAACTTTTTCCACACAATATGGTTCCTTCAATTTGAGGGGCAGTAACATAATCTTCTTACTAAGGAAACTAGTATGAAAATAGCAAAATCATCAAAAGAAATAATGTGAGAATATCAGTGGCTGTGTGCTACAGCAATATTGGTTTAGGCATAATATGTTCATGAAACCCCACTGTAGGCCGAGGTGAGAGAATTACCTGAGCCCACGGGTTCGAGACCAGCCTAGGCAACTTGGCGAGACCTCGTCTCTACAATAAATCAAAAAATTAGCCGAGCGTGGTGGTTGGCGCTTGTAGTGCCAGCTACTTGGAAGGCTGAGGTGGAAGGATCCCCTGAGCCCAGCAGGTCTAGGCTGTGGTGGCCAGGAGCATGCCACTGCACTCCAGCCTGGGGTAATCTGTAATCTAGTTCCTTTATTCTCTTGTGAAATCGTTAGAGGCATGAAGGATTGAGTTTATTATCTTTCTCCACCCTGTAACATATCAGGAGGTAGAGCATGCACCTACCTGTGAAGCTCATAGTGGGAATGTACTCACAGGAGTGTTTAATAAACATCTGCCCATGGGGAGATTAGAGGTTTGCTTTGGGAAGCAGAGAACACACTATCTTATGTGTTGACACTTTGTCATCTACCATACAATCTGTCGTCACCTTATTTCCTTTCCAAAATATGATTAAAAGGAAATTATCTTTGCGTTTCCTTTGTGAAGGGCTAGAAGTTTGAAACCCAAAAAGATGAAGCAAGACCGACCCCAGGGAAGGGGGAGTGGTTGGGAAGAACAGGCATAAGTAGAATTCAGGCGTCTCGGTGACGTCAGAAGGAAGCAGCGATTTAAGGGATGGATTGCAGACTCACCTGGAGAAGCAGAAGCTGCACACATGTCAAAGGTGAAAGGGCATAGCCTCAGAGGCTCCCCAGACGCAGGAAAAGTGAAACGCCCACTCCTGGGCTCTCACTGTCAAGAATACGTCTAGGGCTCGGTTGTTCCTGCCTCTGATGCCAGGGACAAACCCTACCACGCACAGTTGGGGTTGATAGGAAGGCGAAGCAAAACCGGACCCGGATTTCAGAGCCAGCGCTCGGGAATCCCCCTGCACTTCTTTCCCCCACCCCCTCCAGCGCCAGACGCCGGAGACACCTTCATGCTCGCACCCCACCTTCCCCAGGCCCTCTCGCTCTTAACAGCATCGGTCTCCATGGCGACCTGAGACCGCCGCTCCCATTGGCCCGTTCAATGTGAGGGTTGGGCCAATGGGGAGGGCCAGCCTTCTCGTTCCGACCAATGGGGAGGGTCAGCCTTCTGCTTCCGACCAATGGGACTGGCG